CCATCTCTGTCATCGCTCTAAATAAAATAGACCATTCCACAGAATCGTAGGCTCTACGGAAGTTAACTTTTAGTACAACCCCTCGCAACCCTTGTTTTCTCCAATAATCAATTCCCTCGTTCGCAGTGAAGGCACAATCCAACAGCTGTCTCCCCGATATAAAGGCGAACTGAGATTGACTAATAATGTCTCCTACACACCAGCTCAGTCTCTTAGATAACACTTTAGAGAGAATCTTGTAAAGACTACCCACAAGACTAATTGGTCTAAAGTCCTCCACACTATCCGAATTAAGTTTCTTTGGAATGAGTGTAATAAACGCATGATTAACCCCATGTTCCCAAACCCTGCCCAAATAAAAATCCTGAAAAAATCTCAAAACATGCTCCTTCAAAGTCGGCCAGCATTTCTTGAAGAAGCCCATGGTGAAGCCATCCGGACCTGGAGCTTTAGAGCTGTCTGAATAGGCTATCGCTTGCCAAATTTCCTGTTCAGAGAACTGATCCTCAAGTTTTGTAGATTGGCTTTCTGTAAGCTTAGCGAAATCCAGAGATAAAACGTCCACTTCCATAGTAGACTTGTAGCTGTAGGCATTCTTAAAGTAGTTCGCAATATGTGACTTTATCAAATGCGGATCTGATACAACAGAGCCATTGATCTTCAAACTTGTAATTTCGTTTCTTTTGCTCCTGTTTAACGCAGACAGGTGAAAGAATCTTGTATTTCTATCCCCATCCTTTATCCTTTATCCATTTCGCCAATCTAAATCTAGTGATAAAATACAGAACTGAACTGTCACATTTTCCATTTTCAAAAACAACCAGATTTCTTGCCTTCCAGATTGACCAGAAAATAACAGTCGGAATAAACCTCCAAATGATAGAATTATGCCTAAGATTGGACCATGAGCAGAGAATAGAGGAAGGATCTTGATGCAGAGCAGTTGAAATATCCCATAACCTTAGAAATTTACACCACAATCCCGAAGCAACAGAACACGTTAAGAACAGGTGAGCTATAGTTTCATCCTGGGAATTACATAATGGACACAATACTTCCGTTAGAGGGATCCCTCTTTTCTTCAATTCCACTCTAACTGCTATTTTCTAATGGCAAATCTGCCATAAGAAGGTTTGAACTCTAGGCGGAGCCAAACCATCCCAAACCCACTTCTTCCACTCAAAACTCTCTTCAGAACTATCATATAACGACAATCTACAAGCTTTGACCGAGAACATGCCATCCCCCTAACTCGACCACCCCAGGAAATCATCAACAGAACATGACAGCTTAGTCTTGTCAATCAACAACATTAGATCGATCCACTGGTCCAATTCCCAATCACAAATTCCTTCTAAGCTGGATGTTCCAAACCCAAAAATTATCTACATACCCACCAAACTCAGAGACCTTCCCCCATTTATTTGTAGACAAAGCAAAAATTCTTGGAAATTGATGATTTAAAGGCATACTAGTGATCCAAACATCAGTCCAGAAAGCAATCGACTGACCATTTCCCACTTGGATCTTTGAATTGTCTCTCAAACATAGTTATAGTGCAGTCTTTATATATCTTTGGATCTTTGTAGACGAAATGGCATATGCAGCCAAATGTCTTTGGATCTTCTCTACATAGTTATAGTGCAGTCTTTATATATCTTTTTCTTTTTCGTACAGTTTTTTTATTATTTTATTTATATAATATAGCCTCATCTTGATTCAAATATGTAGTTGCTGACTCTCGAAACAGCTCATTTTGTTCCCATTTTATGCATTTGACAGAGAAATAGATCATATGTACTTGGTGACTTTGGAGAGATTGATATATTTGTTTTGAGCAGCCTCTATTCTGTTTGTCAAGTGTCCTCTTTCTATCTGCTTCGCTTTCTGCATTATGTGGGTTCTTTTAATATGGCATTTATGGGAACAACTCTTTTACCTATATGTATCTGGTCTGTTGTTTTGACTATTGATTTCATATTGAATTGACATATTCTTCTTCTTTCAGCTATCTTCTTATTTATATTTTATTTATTTCTCTATATGTATCTGGTCTGTTATTTCCTTGTTGCCTTGTCATTCATAAAAAAAATGTGCTCCTTCATTCTCCTTTTTTGTAGATTAAAGTTCTTTTAATGGTCGTGAAGGATTTTAATCCAGATTGTGGGGACCCTGCCTACACTGTTGGGATCGTGGACTTGCTACTTGAATGTGTGGAATTGTCCTATAGGCCAGGTAATTGGTTTGTGAATTTCTCTTTTTTTTGATAGAATATTAGGCCTCGTTAAAAACCCTCGACTTGCCCTCCATGTTGCAATAGTAACACGAAGGACAAAGGAAGAGGGAAAAGAGTGCCTACTACTTTTATTAATCAGGAGAATAATACACTGTCATTCCTTACATCATACTTTAAAAGCCTTAACCCAATTACATAAGACTTAACCACCTCTTACTGTTGAAACCTTAACACTGAATACATAAGACTGAAAACAAAATCCCTGCAGAAATGCCAGGGAGACTAGCACCCTAACACACCAAAAACAAAGCCTAACGATCATCCAATACCATCCTTAGCTAGTCTGTCCGCTTCCCAGTTAGCAGCTCTCAAGATTTGCCTTAACATAATATCCTTCCCTTCCATTATAGAAATGATCTCCTTCACCAAGGATAGAAACATAGGGGAGCTTAGTTTCGGATTCTTGATCCACTTCAAAGCATTACTTGAATCCGATTCTAAAATAATCCTCTTATTAAGGCCAACACCTGAATCAGACAACACGTACAACCCCCTCTTGATCGCCAATAATTATGCCAAAATCGGAGGACCCCCCAACCTTATCAGAGAACCAGTTAATCAACACACCTTTGATGACCCTTATGAGTCCACCTATACCACCTTTATTCCAACCACTCACCATCGCCCCATCAACATTAATCTTTATGAACCCGTCTGGTGGAGGAACCCAACATGAAGGTTGGGATCCACTTTTTTTCTGTCTCCCAACCGAATCAGCAAGAGTTAAGTCACCCAGTAGAGAGTCGAAAGGAATCTGCACAACATCAAAACTAGCAGTAAACCAAGAGACTATTCGAAATCGAGCAATAAAGAACATCCTCACCACATCCAACTTTCCTTTCATGAAGATAACTTCATTCCTACATTTCCATATAGTCCACAACACCGCCCTTAGGATAAATTTCCAAATACTGGAATTCTGTAATATCTCATCCCACATAATAATAAAGTCTAAGATGTTATTAGGAATCACCAAAGAAACATTCCACAAATTCGCAAATCTAGCCCACAAACCCCAAACTACCTCACAGTACAGAAACATATGAGAAACAGATTCCACAAACCTGCCACACAACGAACATAAAGAGTCTTCAATCCCAGCCACTCCTCGCTTCAACAATTCCTCTTTAACCGCCACTCTCTGATGAGAAACTTGCCATATGAAAGTTTCAACACGTGGAGGAGCTATCCCGACCCAAATATGTTTGACCCACTTATCCTGAAACCCCTGATTACCAGCCGTATCAAAAAAATTGTTGATACAAGACTTAGTTGAAAAACAACCCTCTCCATTCCCTAACCACATCCAGTAATCGTCCTCATCAAGAGATAGTGAGATGTTCAACATATAAATCAGCTGCAACCATTGTTCAATCTCCCAATCCGCTAGATTTCTTCTCATTTGAATATCCCACACCCATCCTACTGCATTGTTCACCCTAAACTCCACCACTTTACCCACTTTATTATTCGAAAGTGCATACAATCTAGGGAACAAGTCTTTAAGAGGGATTTCTCCCAACCAAACATCATGCCAAAACTCCACCGAATGACCGTTTCCAGCTTTCAAACGCATATTTCTCCTAAAGCAATCTCCAAACTCATCACTAGAAAAGAAGTTATTAATCACTCCTCTCCAAAACCAAGAGGCTCGAGCTGTCAAAGAATTCCCCAACATTTTGGAATTCAGATCCAAATTGTTCACAACAAACCACCCTCTTCCACCAAGAATTCTTTTCAGAGGCAAACTTCCAAACCCACTTTCCCATCAGTTCTCTGTTCAGAATAGCTAAATTCAGGATCCCAAGACCCCCAACCTTCTCGGCTTACTGACCAACTTCCAGTTCACCCAATGTATGTTTCTTCTATCTGTCGAACCCCCCATAAAAAAACAGCCATGATCGAATTTAATTTCTGCAGCACAGTTTTTGGAATTCTAAAAATAGAAAGGAAATAAGTGGGAAGGGAGCACAACACTGCTTTAACCAACACCACCCTACTTGCTAACGCTAGAGAATTTACCTTCCAACCAGTCAACTTATTATGAAATCTCTGTATAATTGGCTCCCACATTGCAACAGAGTTTCTCTTAGACCCCAAAGGCAATCCTAGATACTCTGCTGGAAAATTACCCACTGAGCAACCAATTTCATTAGACCAACCAGCTAACACCTCCTCCTCAACATTTATTCCAAAAATTATGCTCTTAACTAAATTAATCTTCAGCCCCACCAATAACTCTTAAATCAGTAACACCCTTCTAATATTCTTCAAATCCCGAATTGATGCTTTGGAAAAAATAATAAGGTCATATGCAAACTGCAAATGCAATAGCTTGAAAGAACTTTCTTGAACTCCTAAATCAAAGCCCGAAAACAATCCCAAATACACAGCTTTAGTTAACAACAAATGAAGCAATTCACCACCCAAATTGAATAACAAGGGGGGTAGCGAGCAACCCTGTCCAAGTCCTCTTTCAGTGTGAATTCTGTCCGTAGGAGTTCCATTTAGTAAAACTGAAATAGAAGCAGTTGACATACACTGATACATCCAAGAGCACCATTTTTCACCAAACCCCATTTCTCTTGTTTTAATTGTTTTAAAAACTGTCTATTGTATGGACTTTTTGTCGTAATCTTTTAACTGCTCTCTTTTTAATGATTTCTATTTGAGATTTTCCCTTGTTTTTGTTATTGCTGACATCATGCAACTTCGATTTGTAGAGGCCAGCACTGTCAGGCTTAGGGAAGATATACATAATGCCCATGGTTATCACTTCCTTGTACAGTTTGTTCTAGTTTTGTCTTCAATGCCACAGAGTCAAGGCGTTCAATCTATTTATTTGAAGCCTCAGGTTCAAAATGATAGAGGTCATGCTTTTGATGAAGCACCCAAAATGGATATCGTAGGAAAAGAAGACCCTTCCTCTGAACATCTCTCACCCACTTTGACTAGGCTACTTGATATTCTTGTTAACCTAGCTCAAACAGGTCCTGCTGAAAGCAAAACTTCTAAACATTCTCGCACCAAGGCCAGCGGCCATGACATAAGTCAAACATCATCTACTGAAAGGCTAGGTGATAAAAACTGGGAACAGGAAAATAATAAAGTTAAAGACCTTGAAGCTGTTCAGATGTTGCAGGACATTTTTCTCAAGGCTGAGAGCAGAGATTTGCAGGCAGAAGTGTTAAATAGAATGTTTAAAATATTTTCAAGTGATCTTGAAAACTATAACTTGTGTCAGCAACTGAGGATTGTTCCTCTCTTGATCTTAAATATGGCTGAATTTCCTCCAGCGTTGCAAGAGATAATTCTGAAAATTCTTGAATATGCTGTGACAGTGGTGAATTTTGTTCCTGAGCAAGAGCTGCTTTCTCTATGTTGTTTATTGCAGCAACCAATTGCGTCAGAGTTAAAGCTTACCATCCTTTCCTTTTTTGTAAAGCTCCTATCCTTTGATCAACAATACAAGAAAGTCCTAAGAGAAGTAGGTGTGCTGGAAGTCCTGTTAGATGATCTGAAGCAACATAAGTTTCTTTTGGGTTCAGAGGAACATGGTAGTAGTGCCAATCAGCTGGAGAGAAAATTCAGCTCCAGCAGCTTCCAGAAACACTTGGACGGTAAGGATGTTATTATTACTTCACCCAAGCTCATGGAATCTGGTTCAGGGAAGTTTCCAATTTTTGAAGTTGACAGTACAGTTGCTATTGGCTGGGATTGTATGGTTTCATTAGTAAAGAAAGCTGAAGCCAGCCAAGCTGCATTCAGATCTGCCAATGGTTTGGCCACTGTCCTCCCATTCTTGGCGTTCAATGTTCATCGTCCTGGAGTCCTACGGATATTGTCATGTTTGATCACAGAAGATGCTATGCAGGTTTGTTATGATGTGTGTTAATCTTTTTTTGACATAGATCTTACATTCAAACATGTTTTTCTTCCTCCAACATTTTCCCCTTTTCCTTGATCTTAATTTCCAGTTTGTTTAATGTTAAAATCCCTTGTCTGTGCATGTTTCATGAATGAGTGAACTGCAATATGGTTATGCATTACCAATTTGTCACACCATAGTGTTTTTTTTTCAGGGTCATCCTGAAGAATTAGGATCACTTATCGAAGTTTTAAAGAGTGGAATGGTTACAAGTGATTCTGGACATCAATACAAGCTTCAAAGTGATGCAAAATGTGATACAATGGGAGCCTTGTGGCGCATTATGGGAGTAAATAATGCTTCACAGAGATTCTTTGGTGAAGCCACTGGTTTTTCTCTTCTGCTTACCACCCTCCATAATTTTCAGGGTGATGGACACTCAAAAGAATCTTCTTTATTAGTTTACTTCAAAGTCTTCTCATATTTATCGCGGCTTATGACAGCTGGGGTGTGTGGTAATGCTATTAATAGGACAAGACTTCATGCTATTATATCATCACAAACTTTTTATGATCTTCTGTCTGAGTCTGGCTTGCTGTGTGCGGATTATGAGAAACAAGTGATACATCTGTTGTTGGAACTTGCCCTTGAAGTTGTCCTTCCACCTTTCATGACACCAGAGGGTGCCATATCAGCAGATACGGCTGAAAACAAGTCCACTAGTTTTGTTTTAAGTACTCCATCTGGTTTGGTTAATCCTGACAAGGAACGCATATACAATGCTGGGGCTGTTAGAGTTCTTATCCGTTCATTGTTGCTTTTTACTCCTAAGGTGCAAATAGAAGTGCTGGACATTATTGGGAAACTTGCTTGTTCTGGCCCCTTCAATCAAGAAAATCTCACATCTGTCGGTGAGATAGGATCTCTTATGCCTTTATGCTCTTTATGCATTAGACATTAGTTTTTTACTCCTTTTCTTTTCCAATAGGTTGTGTGGAACTTCTTCTGGAGACAATTCAACCCTTCCTTTCAGGCTCATCACCACTACTCTTTTACGCTTTGAAGATTGTAGAGGTTCTAGGGGCATATAGGTAGGCCTTGCGGTCATTTCTAGGAATCATTACTTTGTTTGTTTTTTATTGTTTTCTGAAATGAGGTTTTGATTTTTTCTGATAGGTTGTCTGCATCTGAACTCCAAGCACTTGTAAGATATATTCTGCAAATGAAGCGGATGAAATTAGGTTATACAGTTGTTGATATGATGGAAAGGTTAATTCTCATGGCAGAAACAGCCTTGGAAAATGTTTCTTTGGCTCCATTTGTTGAGATGGATATGAGCAAGATTGGGCATGCTTCGGTTCTGGTGTCTATGGGAGAAAGATCTTGGCCTCCTCCTGCTGGATATTCATTTGTCTGTTGGTTTCAGTTTCAAATTTTTTTGAAAACACGAGCAAAAGAAACTGATCCTGCCAAAGCTGGTCCTTCAAAGAGGAAAAGTGGCTCAAATGGGCAGCATCATGACCGGAATATTCTCCGGATGTTTTCTGTTGGTGCAGTAAATAATGAGAATACTTTCTATGCAGAACTCTATCTTCAAGAGGATGGTGTTCTTACCGTTGCTACCAGTAATTCTTGCTCCTTGTCATTTTCTGGATTAGAACTGGAAGAAGGCCGGTGGCATCACCTTGCTGTTGTTCATAGTAAACCAAATGCTCTTGCTGGATTATTCCAAGCTAGTGTTGCTTACGTTTATCTTGATGGGAAGCTAAGGCACACAGGAAAATTAGGATATTCACCCTCTCCCATTGGAAAACCTTTGCAGGTAACTATTGGGACTCCAGTTACATGTGCGAGGGTTAGTGACTTCACATGGAGACTCCAGTCCTGCTATCTTTTTGAGGAAGTGCTCACTCCAGGTTGTATTTACGTCATGTACATTCTTGGTAGAGGATATAGAGGGCTTTTCCAAGATGCAAATCTTCTTTGTTTTGTTCCCAACCAGGCTTGTGGTGGTGGTAGCATGGCTATCTTAGATTCATTAGATGCTGACTTGTCTGTACCTCCTGGGGTGCATAAGCTTGACAGCACAAGCAAGCAGGAAAACTCTAAGTCAGATGGAAGTGGAATTGTTTGGGATTTGGATAGATTAGGGAACCATTCGTTTCACCTCTCTGGAAAAAAACTCATATTTGCATTTGATGGAACTTGTACAGAGGCTGTTCGAGCATCTGGGATGTCTTTCTTGCTCAATCTGGTTGATCCCTTGTCAGCTGCTGCTTCTCCCATTGGAGGTGAAAGCATTTTGGTTCTCCCCTTTTTGTGTAACTGTTGTGAAAACTCTTCTTAGCTAAATTATTCTTCCATTTGTTGTCTATGCAGGTATACCACGATATGGGCGTCTTAATGGGGATATCTATATCTGTAGGCAATGTGTGATTGGTGATACCATCCGGCCTATTGGTGGAATGTCTGTCATTTTGGCCCTTGTTGAGGCTGCGGAAACTAGGGATATGCTCCGTATGGCCCTCTCATTTCTTGCTTGTTCACTTCATCACAATCCTCAAAATGTAAGAGACATGCAAACATACAGGGGATACCATTTACTAGCTTTACTCTTGCGTCAAAGGATGTCATTATTCGACATGCAGTGTCTTGAGATATTTTTTCAGATTGCTGCATGTGAAGCATCAATTTCTGAATCAAATAAATTGGAACAAATTCAAACTTTTGTCTCACCTACCACAACTACTCATGAAACTGGCTTCAAGGAACTTAATTTCGGAAAGTTCCGTGATGAAACATCTTCTGTTGGATCTCTTGTTGACTTGGATGATTTTTCTGCCCCAAAGGATTCATTCAGTCATATTTCAGAGCTAGAAAATGCTGATATGCGAGTCGAAACTTCAAACTGCATTGTTTTGTCAAATGCGGATATGGTAGAACATGTTTTGCTGGATTGGACACTGGGTAACTTCCCCGGTTTCCATTCAAATTGCACTGTTAAATTTTCTAGAGCATCTTGTTTCAATGCTTGGTACAGGAATCACAACCTTACAGTTCTTCGCCGAATGAACCTAGTTCAACATTTACTGGTGACATTGCAGCGTGGTGATGTTGAAGTTCCTGTTTTGGAAAAATTAGTTGTACTCCTTGGAGTTATATTGGAAGATGGATTCCTGGCATCTGAACTAGAAAATGTGGCTAGGTTTGCTATTATGACTTTTGATCCACCTGAGCTGAAACCACAGCATCAAATGATGCGCGAGTCCATGGGAAAGCATGTTATTGTAAGAAATATGCTTTTGGAGATGCTTATCGATCTTCAAGTGACGATCAAAACAGAAGAGATGCTTGAACAGTGGCATAAAATTGTCTCCTCTAAATTATTAACATATTTTCTTGATGAAGCTGTTCATCCTACCAGTATGAGATGGATCATGACTCTTCTTGGTGTGTGCTTGGCTTCTTCTCCCACTTTTGCTCTTAAATTTCGCACAAGTGGAGGTTATCAAGGTCTAATGCGTGTGCTTCCCAGTTTCTATGATTCTCCTGATATATACTATATCTTGTTCTGTCTAATATTTGGGAAGCCTGTTTATCCAAGGTTGCCAGAAGTCCGTATGCTGGACTTCCATGCACTAATGCCAAGTGATGGAGGCTACGTGGAGTTGAAATTTGTAGAACTATTGGAATCTATAATTGCTATGGCAAAATCTACCTTTGATAGGCTAAGCATGCAATTGATACTTGCTCGCCAAACGGGAAATATTTTCCAACTTGTTGCAGAACTGGTGGAGGAAAATGTAGACATGGCTGGGGAGCTTCAAGGTGAAGCTCTCATGCACAAGACATATGCTGCACGCTTGATGGGTGGGGAAGCGTCTGCTCCTGCTGCTGCAACTTCGGTTCTGAGATTTATGGTTGATTTGGCAAAGATGTGCCCTCCCTTCTCTGCAGTTTGCAAACGACCTGAGTTTCTAGAAAACTGTGTGGATCTCTATTTTTCTTGTGTTAGGTTTGTCTTTGAGATATATTCTCCATTTATACTTGAACATTTTTGTTTTGCATTAATTATGTATTGTCTTTGAGATATAATGTTCCTAAAAACACTGTTATTGTGATGCAACGTAAACATAATCTCCATTCTGTTTCACAAGAAATCTTATTTTTTATTTGTATTATCTTGCAGGTCTGCTCACACTGTGAAGATGGCAAGAGAGCTCTATGCAAAGGAGGAACAGAAGAATTTAAACGAGTGTGATGATGCTAGTTCACAAAATACATTCTCTAGCTTGCCTGTGGAGCAGGAACAGTCCGCCAAGACATCAATTAGTGCTGGAAGTTTTCCTCAAGCACAGGTCAGTTCAAGTTCTGAAGAGATGCCTGTCCCTTCAAATTTCATGGCTGAAGATAAAGAAGAGATGAAGCATAATACATCTCAGGAAGAATTGAACAAATCATTGCAGGAAGATGTCCAAGTTATTCAGAGTGTAGAAGGTGTTTGTGTTGATCAGGTTTCTGCCACCTCAAGCACAAATGAGTTCAGCTTTCATGGTGTCAAAGACAATCAGGTTGTTCATCCACCAGATTCCCAGAGTTCTGAATCACTTGCTATCCTAGATTCTCCTATTTTATCTGAGAAATCCAATTACATAATCCCTCTATCGCCCTCTTCATCTCCCATTACTGGACTGACTTCTTGGTTAAGTCTAAACCAAAATAAATCCCAAAATCCCACAATTGCCTCACCTTCCATGGACTCTTCTATTAATATTGGTGGTTTTGATCAATCCTCTGACTTGAAGTCTGATTCTCAAGGGCCAACAGCTGCAAAAGTTTCCTTTTCTGTAACACCAAATATTCTTCTGGAAACGGATGATTCTGGCTACGGTGGTGGCCCTTGTTCTGCTGGTGCAACTGCTATGTTGGATTTTATAGCTGAAGTGCTTGCTGACTTTTTAACAGAGCAAATAAAAGCAGCACAAGTTGTGGAGAGCATATTGGAAATGGCTCCACTCTATGTTGAAGCTGAATCTATGTTGGTTTTCCAAGGTCTAGTTCTTACTAGATTAATAAATTTTGTTGAAAGGCGTATCTTGTGTGATGATGAAGAAGATGAGAAAAAGCTTGATAAGACCAAATGGTCCTCAAACTTGGATGCTTTTTGCTGGATGATTGTTGATCGTGTTTACATGGGTGCTCTTCCCCAACCTTCTTGTGTTCTGAAAACTCTCGAGTTCTTGTTATCAATGTTGCAATTAGCAAACAAAGATGGTCGGATTGAAGAAGCAGTTCCTACAGGCAAGGGTCTTTTGTCTATTGCAAGAGGAAGCAGGCAGCTTGATGCTTATGTTCATTCAATTCTTAAGAATACAAATAGGATGATAATGAATTGTTTTCTCCCATCATTCCTGATCTCCATAGGAGAAGATGATCTCCTATCTTCCTTGGGTCTGCTTATGGAACATAAGAAAAAACTGCCAATAAAATCTTCACATGAAGATCCAGGAACTGATATCTCCACTGTTTTGCAGTTATTGGTTGCTCACCGACGAATCGTATTCTGTCCAAGCAATTTTGATACTGATTTAAATTGTTGTCTTTGTGTAAATTTAGTTCTCTTCTTCGTGACCAGAGGCGAAATGTTCAGAACATGGCAATTAATGTCATCAAGTACTTGTTGGTTCATCAAAGAGCTTCTCTAGAAGATCTGCTTGTTTCTAAACCTAACCAAGGACAGCCCCTGGATGTACTGCATAGTGGTTTTGACAATTTGTTGACTGGAAGTTTATCTGCCTTCTTTGATTGGTTTCAGAACAATGAGCAGATGGTAAATAGAGTAATGGAGCAATGTGCGGCAATAATGTGGGTGCAGTAGATTGCTGGCTCAGCAAAATTTCCTGGTGTAAGAATTAAAGGCATGGAGGGTCGTCGTAAGAGGGAAATGGGAAGGAAATCACGGGATATTTCAAAGGTTGACCTAAAACACTGGGAGAAAGTGAATGAACGGAGGTATGCATTGGAAGTGCTTCGTGATACAATGTCTACTGAGTTGAGAGTTATCCGTCAGGATAAGTATGGATGGATTCTCCATGCTGAGAGCAAATGGCAAAACCATCTTCAACAACTTGTACATGAACGAGGAATATTCCCAATTCGTAAACCCTCTGTGCCAGAAGATCCTCAATGGCAACTCTGCCCCATTGAGGGTCCATACAGGATGCGCAAAAAGCTTGAACGCTGTAAATTGAAGATTGATAGTATCCAAAATGTTATTGATTGGCAATTGGAATTAAGCGAGTCGGAGTTCTACAAAGTCAAACATGAGGATGGTCTGGATGTTTCTGATTCTGAAGCAATTTTCAATCTTTTGAATGAGAGTGTTGAACAGAATGGTGTTGACACTGAGCTATATGATGAATTTTTGTATAAAGAGTTGGATGACGTGAAGGATGTAATGTCTGTTAGAGATGGTTGGAATGATGACAGAGCTAGCAGTGTGAATGAAGCTAGTCTTCACTCAGCCCTTGAGTTTGGCAGGAAATCCAGCACAGTTTCTGTCCCTGTATCAGACAGTATACCTGGAAAATCTGAATATGAATCTCATAGGCAGTTATCTTTAGTTAAAAAAGACGAAGTCAAAGTTGCAGAGGATAAATCAGATAAGGAACTAAATGATAATGGTGAATATTTAATCAGACCTTATCTGGAACCTCTTGAAAAGATACGATTCAGATATAACTGTGAGCGGGTAGTAGGTCTTGACAAACATGATGGTATATTCCTAATAGGGGAGCTTTGTTTGTATGTAATAGAGAACTTCTACATCGACAGTTCTGCCTTCATATGCGAGAAGAAATGTGAAGACGAGCTCTCTGTAATTGATCAGGCATTGGGTGTAAAGAAGGATGTTACAGGTTTTATGGATTTCCAGTCAAAATCAACTTCATCCTGTGCCTCGCCGCCAAAGACATTAGTAGGGGGAAGAGCCTGGGCCTATAATGGCGGTGCATGGGGAAAGGAGAAAGTGATTAACAGTGACAATTTACCTCATGCTTGGCGTATGTGGAAGCTTGATAGTCTTCATGAGATTTTGAAGCGTGATTACCAGCTACGCCCTGTTGCTGTTGAGTTATTCAGCATGGATGGATGTAACGATCTCCTGTTGTTTCATAAAAGAGAGAGAGATGAAGTATTCAAGAATCTGGTTGCAATGAATCTACCAAGGAACAGCATGTATGTAACCTGGAATTTCATTATTCTCTTTTTTCTTTTAATTTTGTTTATATGGTTGGCTATATGTGTGGTATTATGTTATCTCAAAAGCGAGCTGCAATATCATGTTACACAATAAGATGGATCCCTCTGTCTTCCCTGTATATTGCACAGTTGTTTGTCTTTCCTTCTATCATATGCGTTTGGTCCCTTTTTTGCATGTACTTCTCTTTTCTGTACTTGAGATTCATCCCTGAATCCTTTGCTTTTCTTCCTTATATTCTGAATTTTGGAAAATGTTATTTATTTATTTTTTAATTCTTTTCTTTGTATCAGGTTGGATACAACCATTTCAGGATCTACAAAACAGGAAAGCAACGAGGGTGGCCGTCTCTTTAAAATAATGGCTAAATCTTTCTCAAAGAGGGGCAAAATGGAGAAATCAGCAATTTCCAGTATCTCATGCATCTCAATACCTTGGCAGGACGTGGATACAGTGATCTTACCCAATACCCAGTCTTTCCATGGGTTCTTGCTGACTATGAGAGCGAGAGCCTGGACTTGTCAGATCCCAAAACCTTCCGCAAACTTGACAAACCAATGGGCTGTCAGACACCTGAAGGGGAGGAGGAATTTAAGAAAAGGTAACTCCTAATATTTTTCAAAATCCTTTTAATTAAAATAAAAAAAAAACTATTTAAAATTGTCTTTTCTTTGTCAGACATGTAGTGTGTGCCATTTTGAGGAGTAATTATTATTTAAATGGATACTGTTTTCTGAATGTTCATATCATGTCAGGCATGTTCTTTAACTACATTCTTTTTTTAGACTAATTGTTTAACGTTATCTTTAAATATTAATTTGTCTGCCTATATAACTGCTAATCAGTTTTCTGTCCTTTTTTCCAGATATGAGAGCTGGGATGACCCAGAAGTCCCAAAGTTTCATTATGGTTCTCATTATTCCATTGCTGGCATTGTTCTGTTTTATCTTCTTCGCTTGCCTCCATTTAGTGTGGAAAATCAGAAGCTACAGGGTGGTCAGTTCGATCATGCTGATCGTCTTTTCAATTGCATAAGAGACACTTGGCTGAGTGCTGCTGGGAAGGGTAACACATCAGATGTGAAAGAACTGATACCAGAATTCTTTTACTTGCCTGAGTTTTTGGAAAATCGTTTCAACCTTGACTTGGGGGAGAAACAGTCAGGGGAAAAGGTCTTAGTTAAAGTTTTAATCCTTATCGTGCTTGTGATCTTTATTTGTTTGTTTGATAATGTGCAAAATAAAGTTGACTCAAATTTCTCGTTTATGTTTTTCATTTCTTCTTATTTCCCAGGCTGGTGATGTTTTCTTACCTTCTTGGGCTAAAGGAAGTCCTAGGGAGTTCATCCGGAAGCATAGAGAAGCGCTAGAATCTGATTTTGTTTCAGAAAATCTGCACCATTGGATAGACCTCATTTTTGGATATAAACAAAGAGGAAAGGTGGGTATCGGCACTGGTTTTGAAAGAATATTTAGTCTCCATTTCATGCAATCTCTAAAAATTTCTACTGATTTTAACACATGCACATCTTGAAAAAAGTGTTGAAAGTTGATAGGTTTTTAGTCAAAAAAATCCTGCTGATATAATTTTCTTTTTCTTATTCTGGATTGCTTTGAAGTTGTACTGGGTGAGCTGCCATGGCTGATGGCTACTTTTTATAATTTGAAAGAACTAAAAAAAGTACTTTATTTTGGCAATATTATATTTGTTTTCTCTCTCTTTTAGTTCCTAGTTCGACTTTATTTACCGTCCCTTTCAAATCCTAAGTTGTCGTTCCAAGATCATATGCCTAATCATCTCTGTTTTTTTTCATTTAATTCTGTATATTGTTGTTACAACTGACAGGCGGCAGAAAAAGCTGTTAATGTGTTCTACCATTACACATACGAGGGAAGTGTAGACATAGACTCGGTTACAGATCCTTCATTGAAAGCCTCCATTCTAGCTCAGATCAATCATTTTGGACAGACTCCTAAGCAACTTTTCCTCAAACCCCATGTGAAAAGGCGGCCTTACGGAAAGCTTCCTCCTCATCTGCTGAAGCATTCAACGTTTCTTGTTCCACATGAAATACGGAAAAGCTCTTCTTCCATTGCTCAAATTGTCACTTTCAATGAGAAAATTCTCGTCACCGTGGAAAACACTTTACTTAAACCTAGAACACATACCAAATATGTTGCATGGGGTTTTCCTGATCGCAGTTTGAGATTTATGAGCTATGACCAAGATCGTCTCCTTTCAACACATGAGAATCTTCATGGTGGAAACCAAATTCAGTGTGCTGGTGTTAGTCATGATGGTCATATCTTGGTCACAGGCGCCGATGATGGTCTAGTTTCTGTCTGGAGAATCAGTGAGGATGGGCCCCATGCATTAAGACGGTTGCTGTTGGAAAAGGTGCTTTGTGGTCATGCAGCTAAAATCACGTCTCTTCGTGTCTGTCAACCTTATATGCTGATTGTAAGTGGATCAGATGACTGCACGATTATCCTATGGGACCTCAGCTCGTTAGTATTTGTTAGGCAGCTTCCTGAGTTCCCAGCACCAGTTTCTGCAGTCTATGTGAATGATTTATCTGGGGAAATTGTGACAGCCGCTGGAATTCTGCTTGCTGTTTGGAGCATCAATGGGGACTGTTTAGCAGTAATTAGTACATCCCAACTGCCGTCTGATTCCATACTTTCTGTTACGAGCTGTACTTTCTCCGACTGGCAGGACACAAACTGGCATGTAACGGGTCACCAGAGTGGGGCTATTAAGGTTTGGCATATGGTTCACTGCACTGACCAAGACAAGACTGCTGGCAAGTCAAATACCAGTGGAACGGGAGGATTAGATTTGGATAAGCCTCCAGATTACAGATTGGTGCTAAAAAAGGTCCTGAAGTTCCATAAGCAACCAGTTACCGCTCTTCACTTAACCAGTGACTTGAAGCAGTTGCTGAGTGGTGATTCTGGTGGGCATTTGTTGTCTTGGATGTTATCAGATGAGAGCTTGAAATCTTCTTTCAACCAGGGATAATTATGTTAAATCGGCATTTGTGCGATCTTCAGCTATTGGATAATCTCCTGGTTGTGTTAGAAACCCTAATCCGGTTCTGTGTAAAGCTTTTGTGAGAGCAATTGATTCTTTGTTCATTATAACATTAAAAAGGAAAAGCAAGACGAGAACAGGGCTGGCCAGGTGGACAAGCTAGGATAAGTTATATAGAGACGTGGTGGGGAAAATTTCTTCCAACCTTGTATATTTATGTTGAAAATTACAAAGCAGTTGATGTCTTGAACTCTCCACTGCGAGGGTGCGGGATTTCAGGCGACTCTTTTGTTGTATTTTTGACAGCAGGAGGATATTGACTTTGAAAATATCACTCTACTTGTTTTTTGCATGTAAATAGACGGAACTGTTCAGTGTGTAATGAGGATGTATAGCGAAACAAAAAAAAAAAGAATTGCATTGGAATTGGTCTTGTCCTTTATGAACCAAGGGATGGTTTATAGGATCTTTTAGTGAATTGCTTTCGGCTAAAATTTAGCACAATCGGGTGGTCACTGCCAATTATTATTGTGGATCAGGGTTTGATTTCTTTAGAGAATTTGGTTGGTAATATTCCCTTAATCTCAAGTGTGCCCAGGTGAGTTTCTGTTCACCCAAAAATCTTCAGCTGTTGAATTCAAATTTGCTTGGTTACAATTTACTCGGTGTGCTATCATCTGCTTGCAAATCCCACGTACTGATTGAATACACGTAATTCATCGTCTCTAATTCCTTTTGCTCTTCTAGCCTTATCCAACCCCAATAAAACCCTCCAATTTTCAAAATGACAAGCCTTGGGTGAGATTAGAACCATACATTTTTACCCAAACTCGAAAATTTAACCCTGTTCATTTAAATTTAAATTCAACTCCAACCACTTGAACTTTAAGTGACCTAAATATATAGTGTGAAATGACTTGACTTCAAGTTGAGTATAGTACCGAGATATTTTAATTCATAAAATATAAATTATAATAATAATTTTTCCTGTTTAGCATACGTGTACTTTGAATTTTTACATGCTTTAAGAGTAGAGCAAGATGGTATGGCTATTTGAGTCGGTTTAAAATTTTATATTCTTCGTTTGATTCAGTCTAAGTTATAGTTTGGATGTTCAATCAGCCAGTTCGTCGAATTGAACTATCTAAAATTTATTGACCAAATTTCTTTTCAATCGTTAATTGAATCATTTTCTTTAAACTAATCGAATTGAATAAAGTTCGGTTAGTTAATCGAAATTTATAAATAATATAAATTATACATATTTAATATATTTAGTTAATTCAGTCAGTTAATTTGATTAATAACTGAAGTTAAAGACTCATAAAATTGAGTAATATATAAATAATATTTATAATATATTAAATAATTTAGTTAAATCAGTTAATTAATTGATTTTGAACTAAATTAACTAGTAATCAAAGTTTGAAAAAATTATTAATCGTTAATCCGATCGAACCTCAAATTAACCATTGATTAACTGAATTTTTTAATTCGATAAGTTAATTCAGTTAAAATCGAGTTATGAGCCTCCTACTTAAATTCATTAGTAATCTAATATTAGAAATAAAAAATATTATTATCGATATATATATATATATATATATATATATATATATATATATATAGTTTTGAAATATCAAATTACATTCCCATGCTTGAACTATTTGTGAATATGTGGAACTTGTATATTCATTCTTCATCAATGCTTACAGTTATTTACAGTATATGGCATAAGGTGCCGATCTAGGGGAAGAAGAATAAGAAGAAGAATCTCCATTCCCCAACAAAGAAAAAAAGTAAAAAAAGAGTCGACAATAATTCCAAATTGAGTTAAGAGGTTTTTCAAAAGGCCATCATCATCCTTGCAAACTCCTCATAGCTGACTAGTCCATCACCATCTAAGTCGGCCTCTCTGATCATCTGTTCTGCTTCTTCCACTGTCAGCCTTTCTCCCAAATTCATCATCACTTGTATCAACTGCAACCCACAGATGGGATTTGATCAAACATTAATTTCCTCAAATTTAAATGAAGAATCAAATAAATTAGTTGGATGTTGTTATTTTTTTTACCTCGTTTGCTGAAATGAATCCATCTTGATCTCTGTCAAATACTTTGAAAGCTTCTTGTAGTTCATCGATCACATTTTCCTGTGAGATTATTGTACATGCATCATTCTCCACTTTATAAGGTCAAAAAATGGTCTACACTTGAAAATATACCGGTTTAATTACCTTCATTTTTCTTGCCATAATGTTTAAGAAATCATCGAAATCGATGGTCCCATTTCCTTGAACATCAACCTCACTTATCATGCCTTGAACTTCTTCTTTTGTAGCGTTTACATCTAATGCCTGGATCACTATTGCCAATTCTTCCATGGTTATGGAGCCTGCAATACAGCAACATAGATGTTGTAAGAAAAAAAGGGAAACTGGTAAACTTAATCTTTAGTATTATTAAGGTGTATATACCATCTGAATCTTTATCGATCAAGCTAAAAGCTTCGCGAAACTCGGAAAGTTGATCTTCTGTCATTGTATCTGCCATGCTGGTTTCCTTCAGCTGAATTTGGTAGCAAAAACTGATGAAGGCTGATTGAAATATGAAGAGAAGAAAGGAATAAGGTGCCAAGTTCATATGTCAGATCACATATAAATGGAGAGTTGGTAAAGGAATTGGAAATAGTCAAACGCGCTTGAGTTTTGAATTCATTTCAAAGCATTAATTTTTCTACAAAAATTAATGGAGCCTTGAATAAACTACCAGAAAAAAATAAGGTTTAAAATCTCAATGAAAAGCTCCATGTCCGGGACTTGGCATTCCCTCTAAAAATGTCAGCTACACCCTGACTTCATCTTAACGAGTGGACCGACTTTGCATTTCTGCTATTATAATCGTGTTATGTTGCTCGGTTATTAATACTGATAGATTAATATTTTGTGTCGTATAAATACCCGACTCTTTTCATTTGTTTATTCTAAATTACATTTGAAAGGCAAGAGAGACAAAGGAATTCAACTAATTCTGGTCAAAGAGATTTTGTAAACATTAAGGTTTTTTCTTGACATATGATTCGGGTTTCACACGGATCCAAAATCCTTTTGTTTAATTGGATGAGATATTAGATTCTTTAAGTAAAGTCAAGATTTGAATCTTGATATTATAAATAGACCAAATTAGATTAGGAGGGTAGTTCCCATAATAGACCGGTTCCGATTTATCGATTGATGGATCAAATAACACTGGTTAAGAAAATACAAAAAGCTCACATAGCTACAAGGTGTCTTACATTACATAAGATGTACCTAAAGAAATATATGCAGCTAGGAAGGGTGGCAGTAGCCCTGGTCGCTGGCTGTTTAGATTGGTTGACCTTCCGGTACGACTTGGTCCTTTAACCACATATAGATAGGGACCAATACATAATACGTTGCTGCCATGGTACCCAGTAAAAAGCGTAAGAGAAATGTAAATGGGTTTACTGGCTTCGATACATCCTCCGTCTTTGGCCCGAGCTGAAATGAACGATGAATGAAAAACGAAAGAGTTCAGTAACACGATAAAATTTGAGTGATGGTTGAGAATTAATGCTGGCAACACCAAAGGCATAACCAGACTTTCAACAATCCGGGAGACGGTGAAATCGAGGCTGTTCTGAGGTGTAATTGTAGCCTAACAAAATCTGAGGAGAACTATGTACAATACCCTTGGCCTAGATATCAAATCCTTTGCTCATAACATTGGATGTATGAGATATATGATGCATGCAGTGAGACAGTGATCATGTAAGAAAGTGATTACCTGCAAAGGAGAGTCCCCGGATGCAGGTTTAACACCGGTTACGGAGCATCCCATGATCAAACCATGTCTACGAACTCCTCGATACCATTTAGGGCCAATCCTTTTGAGTTGAACATCCTTAAATCCAGCCTTTTCGAACCACTCAATGTACTCTTCCTCCTTGGGAAAAAGCATCCAAACATCCGCAAAGAAGCGAGACAACCAAAATGTAGGGTACACAGGACCAATTAGAGAAGCTTTTCCTCCTAGTTTCAACACCCTGTATGCTTCCTTGATGCCTCGCTGTGGGTCTGGCCAGTACTCTATGCTGAAAAAACATAACCAAGTTATCCTCTCCTCCATATTATCCATGCAAACCGGACAGCAATTTTACCATCATGCATGACAATTAACAAAGGGCGTAATCCAACCACAAGAAATCAGAAATTTACATCTTATTGTGAAGACATATGAAGTGCATTTCAAGCAGACAAATAGTTTGGAAAAAAACTTACCTGCCAGCAGAGACATATCTATCAGCATAATCAGTACGGAAGGGGAGATCTTCGGCATCACCTTCAATTATCTTGCACTCCTTGAGGGGCTCCTTCTGCTTAGCCTTGGCGAGTTGGTGCGGAGATTGGTCGAGAATTGTAACATTCTTAGCATCCACATGCTTAACGATACCCAAAGTAGTGAAACCAGTTCCACCACCAACATCTACAACAATCATGTTCCTGTTGTTGAGGTCAACCGGCTCCAGTGCATCATCCCTCATGTCTTCAGTCCAATGACCAGGGTTTATCACATGGTCATAAATGATTGACAGGAACCTGTAGAACCAAAAAGCCTCCTTTTTGTGTTGTATGAATCTTGGCTGTGAAGCAGGCCTTGATGCTGATAAGCTGCACTTAGGGGCCATCGTTGTTAATGGCCTGGAGATTCTAGTACTAGAGATAAAACCCAGATTGGACAAGTGTTCCCCGTGAAAACCTGACCCTAAAAAATCAATCCTTTTTGGGGTTACCCCTCTGATGAGAGTGAAGCTTTCAGCTCCGCTGAGCATGGAAGAAGCCATGGATTAAGCAAGCAAAAACTAGCCACAAATAAAAAAAAGATGAAATCTTTACTTGAAAACTTTGAGCAAATACAATTTTTTGGATGAGTTTGGACCAAAGATGTTACCTTTTTTGGGGGTATTGCTGTTTTTACTCTTTTATTGTCTGGTGTTCAGCAACTTTGGTTGAGACTTCAAACTCGAGTTAAGGGAAACGGACACCACAGCCACAGGATTTGGACTGGACTCTGTTCCCTAGTGGATTCTAAGACATTCTCTCTCTAATTTTTGTTTGTTTGTTACTTTGCTTGAATTATGTGGTTATGTGCGTGATTAGAAATTAATGGCTAAAACGTTTAGAAATAAGAACTAAAAATCAGCAGAAGATGAATACCTGTTTATTTGTCGATCATGGTTCGTGACTTCGTTGACTCATACGCTCCTCACGTTTCCAATCCAATACGTGTTCCCATTCTTTTTGTTCCATTTGTCCAAAGTTCATATAATAGTGAGAATGACATACAAGTAAAAGTCTGTTAATTTTGTAAGAGATGTGATTTATGCTCGTAATTTGTAAAATTACAAGTCGATTTAAATTAATATTTTTTAAATTAAATCAAGTTTTGTATACCTTTAATTATAACAAACCCCCCCCCCCCAAATAGTTTAGGCCTTCGAAGACGAAGCCTCAAATACCATGGGCCATTGGCCTCTTACCATTAAATCGAGTAATCCAATCCAAGGCCTAGTTTCATTGTTAGCTCTCTCCTGAAAATGGGCAACATCACTTTTCTGCAGCTCAACACTGCTCATTTCAATGTAAGATTCCAATTTCCCCATCCCATTTCTCAATATCATCTCAAGTTCACAATGATTCATTGAAAATGGGGTCTTACTAGAATATACAATAAAAAGTTTGTCGAATGAACTATTCTTTTTTCAAACAATATCGGTTTCCAAGCAAAACAAAAAGAACTCTGGAGGATATGTTGTTCATTTGTCATCTGGTGTAGCTAGTTTCACCGCAGCTTACTTGGTAATGATTGACTACCGACACATTTGTTGTAATACCCTAATTCAATTAATCTCAAATTCGGAAAATTTTAGTATCACATAGTGTTCAACATTTTTCTTCAAAATTATTTACTTAACATTTAAAAGAGTTGTATAAGATATAAACAGCATAACATTTTTATAATAGCGAAGCTCATTATTTGAAAATTCAATACATAAATGAAATATTATAATCTTACCAAATTACAAATTATAACTTTTACATGGGTACGAAGTCGTCGTTATTGTACAATAATATTTTTATTAAGACTCTTTCGATGATATCATTGTCTCATTGTGATCCTTAAAATATGCAACTTGCGTATGAAAAACATGATGAATGCTGAACTAATAAGCTCATTGTCATAAAAATATTTAGATATTTAGATGAGTATTGAGTTATTTTAACATCAGGAATGTACATCTAAAGAATCCTCGATAGTTAAAAACTTTGAATGAGACTTGACTCACGTCTCCATAAAAAATGTACACTTGAATAATTTACTCATTTAAAATATGTGGATAGATCTAGATCAAAAAAATATTAAAACAATATCCAACTAGGAATGAGTCTACAATGCACGTCGCACACCGCAATATGCCACTAAAGTTGTAACACCCTAATTTCATCCGACCCGAAGATCACTGGATCATGATGTTACATGGGACCATTTAAGTGGCTAACCTAAATTTTTTCTTTTAAAATAACTGACTATAAGACATATGATAAATATCCATCCATGGAAATTAAAATAAAACACAATCAATATCGTTTACAATTACGGGGAAGCCCCCAAAATATCAAAATAATACAATACCGAGTTTAAATCAAAAGAGTTACGATTGAATACAAAAAAGTTCATAACTAATACATGCCCTCTAGGAATGACTCAATGCGTACTATGAATATCTCAGCTGGTCTAAAACTACTGTATCAGAATGCCTGATGACGATAATTCCTCTGGAACTACCTCCTAAGAACCTACGTACGGAAACACATTCTAAACTCTGAGTATACGAGCTCAGTGCCTCACTAATAATTGTACTATACTAAATGTGTTCACTAAATGCACTAGCTAGTGGCACAAGTATAAAGTTATGAACAATGCTGATCTACTATGTTGTGGCAGGCGTCATGGTGCAACTAAGGGTTTTGCATCTCGGAGTTCACGCACTCCTCTAGCCTGCCTGAATACCCTCGGGTATTATGGGGTGAGATCCGAAACTACATCGAAGACCAACTTACTTCGTCGAGTCTTGGGGCATCTGTGCCTAGCTGGCAGTTAAGTGCCTTGGCATTGACTGGATATCTAATTGACTGTCGTATTCTGCTAAAGTAACTCGGGTGTCCTGACTGTGTCTCGAGTATCAAACAAGGCTAGTTTTATGTCGTCCTAGTTGTTATTGTTTCTAACTGTTATGAGTTTAATCACTATTCTCACTTGTAGTTTTATTTCATGGTATTCTGGTATTATGGGATCCCTCAATTCTCTCCTTTAAACTTTTGGAATTCTCTCCCAAAAACTGTATGTGGGTACCGATACTAAGGCCTTCAATATCGGTACTGACCTCTGGGTATCGATACAACTGGAAAATTTTAGGCTGAGAAATAAGAGTTGGTATCGATACCCTAATTGGGGTATCAATACTTCTAATCTAGGGTATCGATACTTGGGTGTCCTGACTGTGTCCCGACTATCAAACAAGACTAGTTTTATGTCATCCTTGTTGTTATTGTTTCTAACTGTTCTGAGTTTAATCACTATTCTCACTTGTAGTTTTATTTCATCGTATTCTGGGATCCCTCAATTCTATCCTTTAAACTTTTAGGATTCTCTCCCAAAAACTGTCTGTGGGTTCTGATACTAAGTCCCTCAGTATCAATACTAACCTATGGGTATTGATACTACTGGTAAATTTTAGGATGAGAAATAAGAGTTGGTATCGATACCCTGGTTGGGGTATCAATACTCCTGATCTGGGATATCGATACTTGTCTGAGTATCGATACCGATTTTGGCTTCGATGTTTTGAAAAATATATAAGTATCGATACCCCTATTGGGGGTATCAGTACTGATATCGATATTGTTTGGGTATCAATACCAAATTTGGCTTCGATGTTCTAAAAAATACCTAGGTATTGATACTTTTATGAGGAGTATCTATACCCTACCCATGGTATCGATACCCTATGAAGGAGTACCGATACTACCTTCACAAAATTTTATTGTTTTACTCTAGCTAAAGAATAGTATCAGTACTGTTCTTCCAATACCGATACTCATGCCCAGAAATGCCCTGGTTTGAGCACAAAAAATGCCAACTTCTTACCCCAAACACCCTAATGAAGACCCTAACTCTTATTAATCTTATGTATGAATATATGGGTCATAAAGAGTCTATAAACATGCTAAAAAATACTGATATCCGAATTCTACCATGAAAATGCTTGTTTTCCCCTCTAATGTTTGTGTTTGTTCTGATCACATAACAAATGGTCCTATATACCCATCATGGGATAGATGGTTTGAAGGCCCCCAGACTCCAAAGTTGCAGATGCCAGATTCTATGACTTGAGGCATTTGTTGCCAAGACATGTTAAAATGTTACAGCTTAGTTGTTATCTTAATAGATAGTTTCAATTCTCTTTCAAAAGTGTGAAATACCCAAGATTTTGAGTGGCTCTGTATAATTTACTTTTTCCGGATGAAATTTGTATATCAGATACATCAACTGCAGATATGAGCTTCTAAACGGATGGTTCTTGTCTTCATTTTGTCCCTTCCCCAAGTTATTTCCATAGTTTAGCCGATTATAAATTCTATGAACTTGTTTCAGGACAATAAGAGATCAATTTAATGAAAATCACTCTGCAAGACATTTAGCTGCAACAGCTTTCATATCTCAAAACTGTCACTGGTTGAGCAGTTCCATAGGTAGATACACTTGCAAGACAGAAGGTGTCCCAGCTGGAGTAGGTGTTCCTCATCTGAAATGTTAAGGCCGGAGATTTGTTAACAGGGACTCCTGCTCCCAAGTTATATGACATAAAATAAACCATGCCTCCATTGTTGACTTGTAAGCACGAAGCTCTACTTTCTCCACAGGAAACAAGGGTAAGTCTCTTTTGTCACACAAAGAAGGAAATGCTGACTCAGCATCGGAATTTTATATATATATCATTTTATTTGATAAATATAAATCTAATTAAAATAATAATAATATATAATGAGATATTAGTGTAATTATCCTTTAATATATATAACTACATTATTCTTCGGGTCAAGTCAAATATGTTCACCCAAAACTTAAATTCGATCTGATCCAACTCAAACCTATTTAAAAAAAACTCAATAAAATTGAAACGGATTAAAACTGATTGAATTCGAGTCTCATGTCCGTCCTATTTCTCCACCCTTCATTCTAATTCCAGAAGCCGGTTGACGCACAGTGGGCCTTCCATTACCTCGGCTTAGAAAATGCCCATTTTCGCTGCCCTCTTATTGACCCAACAATAGAACACGCATCCTTTGGGTGAGCAATTTAGACTTAGGAGTGTAAATAAATAGAGCATTCAGTGAATTATTTGTGAGCAGTTTATTTATATTTATTTGTTAAGTTAACTAAATGAACATAAACAAGAAAATTTATGTTCATTTAATAAATGAACAAACACAATCAGAGATGTGTTCGGTTCGTTTATGTTCACGTACAAGCTCGTTTATGAGCTCATTTATAAGCTTGTTTATGAGTTTGTTTATCAACTCGTTCATTTATGTTCATGAACAAAATCGTTTACCCGATTCTCCTTTTCCTTTTATTTTTTTATATTTTAAATATTGGTGAATATAAGGATTAAATAGAGCACAAGATAAAAGTTGCATTTTAAAATATGTATTTTAAGGAGTTTAAGTACCAGTGGTGTGATTTTATTATTTTTCTTTAGCTTGCAAATGAAATTAAAAATCGAATATATAAACGAACAATAAACAAACACTAAAACAACACTAAACGAACATTAAATGAACACATTCGTGAACATATAAACAAATATGTTCGTGGACATATAAACGAACATGTTCTCAAACATTAAATGAACATGTTCGTGAACAATAAATAAACGAATACGAACACTTTCAAAAATAAATAAACGAGCACAAACACAATATTAAAAATTTAAACGAACACGAGTTGAACACGAACGACCTTATTCGTTCAAACTCGTTTCATTTACA